TCCTCCTCCCCTCCCACTACCCACGCGTAGGAAGTGGGTGCATCTTGCTGTATCATGCACATAAATAATAATGATAATTGACTAAAATGAATAGAGACGGGTGTAGATGCCCATTCTTAAGTAATTATTACTAGGGATACAAAGAAAAGGGCCACTAATTGCAATAGAATCCCAGAGTAATTTTTCTTGACAGAAATGCAAACTGTTTTGGAGGATGAATTCGTGTTATGTTTACAAGTCGGACTTCAGTTCGGAACTGTGGACTCTTCTCACAAAATATTCATGCAATTATATTCGTCATATGTATTTAGCAGAATGAAGGACGCCCCGACGTCAAGGTGGAAGTAAATTACCTAATTAACCTCCACCCGGAAAAAGAAAGCATTTCTTATTTGGGCTTTTCATACAAGGTATATTTAAAGATGAGCAAACGCAAATAAAGTCACTAAATTTACCTAATTATTTGACTCATTTGACTAACGTTGAAATTAATGCGTGAATCAGGCGTACCGAAGAAAAATCAGCTTATCTATTCGTAGTGGTGCTTTGAAGTTAATTTAAAGTGTCATCGAGGCAAACGCGTAAAGGGTTGTTGCGTTCTTGGTTTAGGTCGTTTTAACTTCACTACACCTGGGCATCTCCCTCGGCCCCTGCCTTTACGAAACTGCCGGGTTGTATTTGATCGCTGGGGGAGCCTCCCATATCGCGTTCCATGCGGCTACCGCGCCAGTTGGCTAGGCGCGTAGGCGTTGGGTGCACTTAATCGGCGCAGGTTTGCCTTTCGTGGCTTACCCATATAGACGTTAAACCCGGTCGCTGGCTTCCTGTGTGGTCTACTAAGGCCGATTGCCGCTTGCTTTCTTTGCCTGCCGTACTGCTCATTTCCCCGCCCCTTCACCCCATCACAGCTGGCTTTGGAACGGCTACTTAACAATAGGGCTTCGGCTTTGCTTTGCACTTTCACGGGCTTAGGTGTACGCCCGGGCCTTGGGATCTCTGTGCGGTCTCCTTCGACCGCTTTCCCTTTGCGCGTCGGCCGATTTCGTACGTCCGTGCGGTTGGGCGGTTTGGCCGCCTTTCGGCGACCAGTAGGTTTGGCTTTCCCGTTTTACGTTTACCTTTCATCGGCTTGACGGTTAGCGTACTTACGAAGTAGCCGTTGGATCAGTCAAGTCCGCCAGCTAGGGTGTACATTGGTTTATCATCAATCCCTTCAAACATTAAGCATTCAATCTCGGTTGGCGCATTTTTGGCTGGGGTTATGGGATTAAACGGGAACAAAAGTTCAGAGGTATAGTAAGGAATTCACTATTTATGTGCGGAGTATGAAAGAATTACAAACGTTTCCCGCTGCACCCGTTCTCAATGGCCAAAAAGCTCATTGCCTGGCCGTTCGGCTGTTCCGTCTGACAATTTTTACAGTGGCCGCTATTATTCAACTAGGTGTACAACATCATTAACATGTTACTGCCTACCTTTCTGGTCAGCTGCAAATTATCTCGGTTTCCGATTGCGCTTCCGATACTACATAGGCCTGAGCCACATGGGACAGGAATCTCTCCCAGGACTCTGCCAAATTACTTGCTTTCAGTCAGAACCAGCAGTCCTTTAGCTTGCAAATATTAAACTAAATACGGGGACTGGATAATATCCAAGATCTGTCCAAACTCCGATGGATTATTTGCTTGCGGAGCGGCCTTCCGCTTCTTCTTTACTGTCCGTGGGAAACGTTTGGTAATTATTGAACAAATTAATAATAACAGCTTCAGTCCCCTACGTCCTGCGTATTTTGCATTCATACTTACCGTTGCTCGGGTTCACTTTCCACCGCCCTGCTTGTCGTTGGCATTTAACTAGGATTCATCATCTGTGACAGTATCGTCTGGGGCACCTCCAGCGGAATGGCTTTGGCCTTGGGTATCTTGTTCCTATTGGTTGCAGCTTACTTTTTGAACTTTTCGGCACATTTTCCACCTCAAACAAATTTAATTATTAACTTTCTAAACCTATTTTTTACTTATTTTTTTAACTCTTCGCTGGGTTTCCCATTTTCCCCACCCTTAAAACCCCCTCTTCCCACCCATCCTGTATGACACCGACCTTCCGTTCGCTTGCATAGTCCAGGCTACATACAATTGTCCGACCGGTCCTTTGCTATATATTCCTCGGCAGCACCTCTGCGGGAGATTTGGTAAAGCCCACCCCTTTATGTTTACAGACGTTAGCCCCAAAGTGTGCCTTGTTCTGGTCACAGATGCAGCTCGGAAACACGTTGCACATCCGAACGCTTTTGGATCAGCCGACTGGCTTAGCTACTTCATCCATCCGCGACTCAAAGGTCTGTATGTCACCAAGGCGGCATCGATGGTGTGGACGAGATCAGTAGTCAGGCGCTTAGGCGCAAATGCAACACTACCAAAACCGGAAAACAGGGTAGAGACCCTCAAAGCACCAGATGATTCAGCTGACTTTGACATAGACATGACACCTTCAGTCTGGTCGTCCAAGAGCCCAGTGCCGATGTTTTAGCGGATTGACGGAGCTGCAAGCACCACCTCTGTCAAAATCATGCGTTGCCCCTTGGATAGTCTAGTCAGTAGCCTAATTGAACACAGTGGACTATAACATACAGCCTTGTGGAACGATCGCTCGAATACCGACTGAGTCAAGGAAGGTTGCTGTGGACCAGGAATTATTTGCTGCTAAAACTATGGTAGGCTCTGACCATGACGATGCATTTGCTGGCACGCCACCTAGTCCCCTCTTCTGTCATCGGGGATCGAGATTCACAAAATCGGACGTTTCTTGAAACAAACTAGGTAGCCGTGGGTTGCTGCTAGTCACGGCGGAATTCAAAAAGTGTCTTACCGTGACTATTTGTCCATTGCGTCCATTCTCTACGCGAACCGCGCACACCTTAAAATCGCATCAGAATTACAAAAACGAACGCTTCCTCATCATGGTCGACTTTAGTCATGTCGCGATGGCATTTACAAGCCGTTCAATCATTTACTGGAGCAAGGACGCCAGAGTGATTGTAAATGACTTATAGATTTCATTGACAAAACCGTCCTTTCCAAAAGCTTTCTATTGGTGAAGCTTCTGTAACATATAGAAGACATCTTCCTAAGGTGGATTCAAACATGAAACTTCCTAGGGTAAAGAGGGAAAGAACTATTCCAAACATCAGGTTGGACGTCATAAGTGCTCATTCCAGCGTTCGGTTCTGGTTGGTTTGTCAACAACGAAGCAGTCTTTCACATCGATCACAAGGTGGCCCAGTGCAGAGTGCCCAGCAAGAACTTGATGTATGGTTTGGTAGGTCACGCGTTGCCGACTTTTGAGATCTTCGTCATTTAAACCTACTAGTTTTTGCGGCTATTTCCTGTCAAGTTCGCCGTTTTTAAACGGAGGCGACAGAAGGAATCACTGGTATGGGACTTAGGATTGCGAAAGTATGCTCTTATTCGAACACGCGAAGTGCAGCAAAGATGATTCTGTTCATGCATGGGACGACTATGGGGGAGGAGGTTCAGTCGTCTTCGGTAGGAGCGTATTTTCTAAAGCGCATCATTACATTATGATACCCATCGGTTTTCAGGAATGCAAGACATGGGACAAACGATCTTACCGTGTGACGATGATTGGACTTATCTTCCATTTGTGGGAAAGCGGTTTGAGATTAGACTGAATATACCCTGTCTCCGGAGCACAAACTGTAGCAGAACAGCTTAGTACAAAATCAGAAAAGCATGACGGCGGCGAGAGTGTTCATGCTTCTTTGCATGTTCCCTTCTGAGGTGGCTTTGAAAGCGCAATCGTCAGCGAAGCACAGTTGGTGGACGGTAGTTATGGATACACGCGACTGGAAATGCATCAGCAGCTAATTCAAGCTTTGGCCGTGCGTTCTGTTATGCGGATCCCGCGGCGTTCGTCATGGAAGGGGTCCATCAGCATGGTAAAAAGCCAAGAGACTAAAGAGGATAGACGCCAGGATGCAGCCACGCATCACTCCGTTGGTCACTGGGAATGCCTCTGAGACGGCTCAGTTGTCCGTAACGCACGCCGTAATGCCATCGTGGAGTTGATATCGCTCGGGGCAGCCGAATCCTTACTTTAATTTTCCACAGTTCTTCACGATTCACCATGTCGAGGGCTTTCGTCAGACCCGTGAAGGTTGAGTGAAGATAGATCCGCATCTCCGGACACCTCTCCTGTAGTTGGCGAGGAACGAAAATCATGTCGTTGCTGCCTCGATGACGGTGGAAGCCGAGGGATTTCTGGCAGGGGTCCTTCTTCCAGGTGATTGTTGAGGTCGTTGATGAGGCTGCGAGGGAGGATATTTCTAGCGATTTTGGTAAGGCGGCGCCTCTATGGTAGTCACAGAGTTGGTGGTTCTGTAGCAGCTAAGCGGTGATAGTGTATGCTCAATGCGCTACAACTTCGGGCCATATTCCAAGTTGTTAGAAGTGGGACGTCGGTTGGGATGAAGAATAGTGAAGGAAGGTTGGCGGCCGGACGAAAGTGCGACCGGCACCGTGGAAAGCGTCTTCCACCAGAGCGACGAGCCGTGTGTCGCCGCTGCAAAAGTTTAAGTGTCATGGCAGATTGTGCACGACAGTGATGACCTTTAGACGTTCACGTTTTCGATTTCATTCTTCTGGCTGATATTTGCCTCTTGCACCCAGTCATCTATCCCCCGTGCCATCTCTCAGAATGCATTCTTCAGACCCCAAAGTAGTGGTTGCCTCTTCTAACAAAAATAAATTTCGCCTTCCAGACTTTTGGCAACACGCGCCAGTAATTTACCTTCTGCGTATTGAGGCCACCTTCCTCTCGGCCATCATTACCCAAGAGATAGACAAGTATTATAAGTTGGTTGAAACCCTTCCTCCCGCCATCCTTTCTCAGGTCCAAACATTCCTTCTAGATCCTCCAGCTGACGCGCCCTATTCCAAACTTAAAGCTGAACTTCTTCGTCTGACCACCGTTTCCGATGGTCAACGTTATCATACGCTAGTGAAAGAAGAGGCTTTGGGCAACCGCACACCTTCGGAACTCCTGCGTCGCACGCGTTCTCTTAGTAGCAACATGTCCGTTGACGACAAGTTCTTCAAAGCCAACTTCGATGCAAACAAACTTGGCCTCCTGCTCTTCTGATCTAGACATCTCGAAACTCGCCGGAATGGCTGATCGAGATTGAGCGTCTATCTTCCTCGACGATTGCTCAGGTTTCACAACCGTTCCTAGTCCCCATCTCTGACTTGGCCGAGGTCAAGGCACAATTAGCCCAATTATCGACAGCTGTTGTCACTTTGCCGCTGCGCCGCTCTCCTGGCCTTTCTTGCCGTACCTTCTTACGAAACCGTCATCGCTCCCGTTCTAGACCTAGGACTACCACCCTGTGCTGGTATCACGTGAATTTTGGAAATAAGGCTCGACGTTGTGTCCCCCCTGCTCTTTCAAGTCTCCGCAGGGAAACACCCACCGGCCGCGAGTAAATGAGACCGAGCTCTCTGGCAACCCCACCGACAGCACATTTTAGGTCTGCGACAGTACGAGTGGTAAACGTTTCTTTAGTCCTTCTACCCCCTCGTCCTCCTCCTCGTCCTCGTCCTCCTCCTCCTCCTCGTCCTCCTCCTCCTCCTCCTACACGCCCTCCTCCTCCTCCTCCTTCCAGAGTAATTTCTTCTTGTCAGAAATGCAAACTGCTGGCACAACGTGAATTTAGGCGATAAGTCTCCGCGTTGTGTCCCACCCTGTTCATTCAAGTCTCCGCAGGGAAACCTCCCGGCCGGGGGAGTAAATGCGACCGAGCTCTCTGGCAACCCCACCGGCGGCACATTTTAGGTCTGCGACAGTATGAGTGGCAAAGGCTTCTTTAGTCCTTCCACCCTCCTCATCCTCCTCCTCCTGCTACTCCTCCTCATCCACCTCCACCCCCTTCTCCTCCTCCTCCTCCTCCTCCTCCTCCTCCTCCTCATCAACCTCCTCCTGCCCTGCCACTCCCCACGCGTAGTAAGTGGACGCATCGTGCTGTATCATGCACAAAAATAAATGAATAAAATGACAAGGGACAGGTGTAGATGCCCATTCTTCAGTAACTATTACTAGGAACAAAAAGAAGAGGGCCACTACTTGAAAAAGAATCCCAGAGTAATTTCTTCTTGACAGAAATGCAAACTGCTTTGGAGGATAAATTCGAGTGGCAAGCGTTTATTTAGTCGACACTGCTGCTCAAATCAGTGTTATTTCCTCAACAGCAACTCACAGTCGTTGTCGTAATCCTGACCTCATACTTCAGGCCGTCAGCATCTCGCCAACTGTCAGCCTCGGCATCCGCTCACTCTCACTGGACATTGGCTTCCTTCGTCTATTCCCTTGGGTCTTTGTCGTCGCCAACGTGCCCTGTGCTATACTTAATGCACACTTTCTTGCCCTCCTTGATCTTCTGGACGACTGTCGTCAGTCACATCTACAAGACCAGACCACAAAGCTGACCGTCCGAGGTATCTCTTCGTCTGAAGTGTCCCGCTGACTTGCCGTCCTGAACCCTGAACCTGCGAATCCATTTCGACAACTTCTCGCCAAATACCCTGGTTTCACTCGTCCAAACTTCAGCGCAACTGTTCCACCTCACAATGTTGTTCACCACATCCGAACCACTGGCCCTCCCGTGTTTTCTCGGCCACGCCGTCTCGCGCCTGCACGTCATGCTGCCGCCAAGGTCCAGTTTGAGCACATGCCTTATGTGGGCATTCTTCGTCAATCTGAGAGCGCATCGTCCCTTCTTATTGGTTTCCCAGGCTGCTTCAGGTGACTGGCGCCCCTGCGGTGACTACAAGGCCTTGAACAGCGTAACTAACTCGGACCGCTATCCTGTTCCGCATCTTCAGGATTTTACCGTAGCCCTTTACGTCAAATCTGTGTTCTCGAAGATCGACTTGATCTGTGCTTTCCACCAGATTCCCATCGCTCCGGCGAACATTCCAAAAACGGCCGTCACTACACTCCTTGGCCTCTTTGGACTCCGCAACGCCTCACAAACATTCCAAAGATTCGTAGACAAAGTACTTCATGGCCTACCCTTTGTTTACGCCTATATCGACGACCTTTTGATTGCCAACTCCTATGCCAAAGAACACATGGAGTATCTTTAAACGCTGTTTAACCGCTTCCAAAAATTTGGCGTCGTTCTCAACCTGTCCAAGTGCATTGACTCCCCCGAGGTCCTCGGACATATGGTTGACTCTAGGGGCATTTATCCGCTTCCCGCGAAGGTTGCGGCCATCTGTGACTTCCCTTCTCCCTCTCCCAAACGTCAGCTCCAGCGATTTCTGGGTATGGTAAATTTTTAACGCCGGTTCCTCCCGCATTGTGCCGACCTTACTCTGCCGCTCACGAACCTTCCCTCCAGTCCCAAACATTCGTTCAAGCTGTCTGCAGACACCGTCGCTGCTTTTGACAAGATGATTGCTGCCCTGGCCGACGTCACCCACCCGACGCACTTTTCTCCCGATGCTCCCATCGCCCTCATGGTTGACGCCTTCAATTTTGCTGTTGGTGCAGTTCTTCAACAAAGTCACCCGGTTTCGACGGTGCATTTGGCCTTCTTTTCAAGAAAACTCTCTAAGGCCGAAACCCGCTACAGCACTTTAGTGCGCGAACTTCCTGCTGTTTATCTTGCTGTGAAGTACTTCGGGCAGTTACTTCGAGTTCGAGAGTTCGCCATTTTCACGGACCACAAGTCAATTTCCTTCGCACTACACTCAGTTTCCAACAGGCTCAACCCCCGGGAAACCCGTCAACTTGACTACATCTCTCAGTTCACCTCAGCCACATTGACGGATCAGGCAATGAGGATAGCTGGCGCATTATCCAGATCCTCCATCGCTCACCTTCACCTTGGTCCCGGGATCAACCTTGCTGAGATGGCAGCGCAACAACGCCGTGCCGGTTCTCCCTGTGATGGGAATGTTTCCGGACGCCAACTCGCGAGGAATTTGTGGGCGTGGACCGTCCTAAAGCTACCGTCCCAGAAGGAGGATAAAGGATGATTTTCTGACAAAAGAGTAAAATAATGCATGTTCTTGTGCGTGTTTACTATAAAATATTTCTGAATCTATAAGACCGTCGAAAGTCAATGTAAAAAATGCATGTTACTTATGTAATCATCTTTTTATCGAGTCGATCTCTGAATAGGGTCGAAAACAAATACATTTGAAAGCCGAACGTCTGGCGCATTCAAAACACTATAGAATTATGCCTTTTGATAATCAATTTTACAGCCCCACTTAAGTAGTACTTCGTAGTCGAAAACGTATTTCAGTATTTTGGGCTCCTCTCCTACCACAGGGTATTCACGCAAGTCTTTAGTCAATCATCCTATCGCGACATATTCAATCAGAGCTGTAACTGTTATACCTCCTATATTCCATATCTGGCTTTAGGCACGAAAATTGCCCATCGTCCAATAATTCCATTTCTTTCTCAGCTGGCGAAAGAGCATCAGTGCTCAGACCCCCCAGAATGAATATGTTCATGCTGTCCTGGGAAGTAATTTTTTTGAGGAAGAGGAGGAGGAACAAATAGGAGAAAGTATATAATCATCAAATCTCAAAAAGAAGCAGGTTGCCATTATTGTAGAATAGTGTTTCATAGGAGTCCGCAAATGACATCCATCTCAAGAGTATGTTTTATTCCTGAGAATGAAGACTTTCAAGTGCGAGGAATTTATCACTAGGGTAATAGCAAGGTACCACCAAAGCCTGATTTGTCTGCCCGGTCGCTTTTTGAGTAGAATATGTGCAATGGCTTTGCGTTTTCGTGTGCTGGTAATGCGCCACTGTGCGGCTGCTGGTTGGGCTCGAGAGAGAGCCCATAAGGCACAACGGAACGAGAACGATCGTTGAGCGCCGATTGTATATTCCCGATCAAAAACCGACAGGGCAACGGACTCGTGACTCAGTGGTTAGAGGCGTGGACTTCTAAATAACAGGTCGCGAGTTCGAGCCTCGGGTGTTCCACACTTCGGGGTTGGGTATGGCTGGCTGACGAAGGCTAACAAGCCAGAAATTGCCATTCCAGTCTCCCTTGTCTTTGTCAGTAATGCCATTCTGCCTATATCATGCGCCGCCGTGCGGCTGCTGGTTGGGCTCGAGAGAAAAAGCCGATAAGGCACAACGGAACGAGTGATCTCCATAAGACCGATCGGTGAGAGCGCCCACTACCATGTGTATATATTAAGGAAGGTGAAATTCTTTAGGAAACTCTAAACTTCATTGTGTAAATTTTCAAGACTGGTTCCCCAGCTCGTCTTCGGACGACGGGCATGCAAAAAAAATTAACTTCTAGACCGAGTCTGACAAAAGGATTATGTGATTGTTCAAGGTCATTTTCCCGGGATTGGTAGAGTCAGTTTGAATGTGTCCTTGACGATTTTGTACGTGGCGTCTAGATCGATATGCCGTTTGATCCATGCCTCATCTGAATGCATTGCATCCAGGAATTCGCGGCATTTGCTTAATGGACAGGCGCCAACAATGCGAGTGTTTTCCCGTGCAAATTTATGCCCAGTTTCCAGTGTCTGCATGGCCACTTGGGATAGATGGTCGCGTCTCTTTACCGTTAACTGATGCAAATGCATACGGTTTGAGACAGATTTCCCAGTTTGGGCACAATAGACGGCATCACAACTAGAACACGGGATTTTATAGACAAAACCTTTTCTTTCGATGTAGCCACCCCTGTCCTTAGGGTGTACAAGCTGCGTGTGTAAGGTTGTTGCCCGCTGGTGTGTTACGTGTATTTGGCACTTTTCAATTGTTTTTCGACTAGTTCAGACACATTTTTCACGTATGCGAGAGTTCGCCAGGTGGTTGGTTTTGGTGTCCGAGCGGGGGTAGCATTGAAAATACTTTTTCCCTAAAGTTGCTGGTGCCTCATGCATTAACGTATAAAGTCATGCGGGTACACATATTCGGAGAATAGTTTGTAGAGGTATTTCATTTCGGCTCGATAACTTGTTTCTTTCCCCTGACCAAACCACATGCCACTTTGCAGCTGCGCTGCTCTCCTGGCCGTTCTCGCCGTACCTTCTTCCGAAACCATCATCGTTCCCGTTCTAGGCCTAGCGCTACCACCCTCTGCTGGCACAACGTGAATTTTGGCGATAAGTCTCCGCGTTGTGTCCCACCCTGCTCATCCAAGTCTCCGCAGGGAAACCTCCCGGCCGGGGGAGTGAATGCGACCGAGCTCTCTGGCAACCCCACCGGCAGCACATTTTAGGTCTGCGACAGTTTGAGTGGCTAAGGCTTCTTTAGTCCTTCTACCCCCTCGTCCTCCTCCTCCTCCTCCTGCTACTCCTCCTCATCCACCTCCACCCCCTTCTCCTCCTCCTCCTCCTCCTCCTCCTCCTCCTCCTCCTCTTCCTTTTCCTCCTCTTCCTCATCCACCACAAGTGGGTGACAGCTTGTCGCGACTGCCATCAGAGCCGTTGTGTGTCCTTCACTCTAGTGCAGCTTGTTCAATCAAACTGTCTTCCTTGACTCCTGATTAGGGAACATTCTGGTTGTCGACTATTATCACGACAGACCCCGAAACACACACACACACAAACAGACATCAAGATTTTAATCAACGGGAGTTGAGCGGCATATCTGTTACATGCGGGAGAGTGCCGTCGAAGGAGCTGTTTTAGCCCGGCCCCAGCCCACCACTCCGCCACTCCACACAAACACACACACACACAAAACTGGACGAAACTGCGTGGACCAAGTTGCGGCGTCAATCAGCAGCCTTCCTATCAACGCTGCTTGACGCGTCGGGATTCTCAGACTCGAGTCAACCGTGACACAGGAACCGCAAGGAGGCCGAGTCGAGACGCACACGTCCCACTTGCATGTGAGTTGGCGGGTGGGTGGTGTTGATGTTTGATGAGACGGTGGTGAGGGGGGTGTGATGGTGTGATGCAGCCGGCGGTTGTCTACCGCAGGTGTTCGTGGATGCGCATGTGGCCGAATAGAACCATGCGGTGTATGAATGTGCGACGGCAGTGTGGACAGTGGAGGCGATTACGTTGGGTGCAATTTGGTGCGCCAGGCATTATTTTGCCAGTCCCTACGCGGTGAATTCGCAAGTGACCGTCTAGGCCGATGCGTGAGGTGAAGGTGCGGTCGCATTGAGGACTGTTGTAGTTCTGGTCCTCACCGCTAGCGTCAGTGGTGGCGGAGTTGGCGTTTGTCGGTTTATCAGGATTGTGCGTAGTGTTGATGCGCGTGCCCGGAATGTCCGCTAACATCGTGGACACGTTGGAGGCGATTTGGCGTTGACATTGCGAGGTGAAAGCAGCTGGAACTTGTGTGCTTCACATTTGGCTTTGGCGTCCACGATGCGGTCGGTTTCGTAGATCGCAGTGCCTGTCTTCACTGTCCTCCTCCATGTCGGTCGGTCTCGGGCGGGGTCTTCGCATTTGGTCGGATTTATTCGCAGACGCTTCAGGGAAGACGTCCGAGTATCCTTGCATCGATGGATTTGTCCTCCTTGGCGGCGGGAACCCGTGGCGACGTCTCCATAGAAGAGTCATTTAGCTAGCCACTCCTCGTCCATTCGCACGATATAGCCGCTCCGGCACAGCTGCAGTTATTTCAACATGGTGTAGATGCTGAGAATTCCCATTCGGTCAAGTACATAGGTGTCGAGGATTTGGTCCTGCCGCCTCAGCCCAAGGATGCGATAAAGACAAGTGAGGTGGAAGTGATTAATTCGGCGTGCCTGTTTCGTGTACAACGTCCAAGACTCAACTCCATACAGAGGGGTCAGGATGATGACAGCTTTGTACATCGTCCTCAGCTGGAGACCATGACGATTCCAAACCGTGCTTTGAAGGCGGCCGAAGGCTTGACTGGCCTTCGAAATCCGGCGGGCGACTTAACCGTCGATTTTCATGCTTCAAGAGAGGGTACTGCCCAGATAAATGAAGTTGTCCACCAATTGCAGTTGGGTGCCCTTCACGCTGATTCGCGGCGCATTTGCGGCACTGTTGGGTGGCGGATGGTGCATGACCAATTTCTTCTCCGTGTTAATAATCAGGCCGAAGTTCTCGCAGACGCCGGCGAAGAGGTCCCTGCTCCTTTGCCTGCCACATGCCAAGGTGAAACTACGGGCGCAGTCGTCGGCGAAGAGAAGTCATGGACGGTGGTTGTGGATACATGCTACTGGAAGTGCATCCGCCGATGGTTAAGGAATTGGCTGCCGTCCTGTAGGCCATGAGTATCCCATGGCGTCCGTCGTGGTGGAAGTCCATCAGCATGGCAGAGAATATGTGACTAAAGAGGGTAGGCGCGAGGATGCAGACCTGCATCACTCCGCTGGGCACTGAAAATGCCTCTGAGACATTTCCAGTCTCCGTCACTCGTATCATCACGTCATCGTGAAGCAGACACACCATCTGAGCTAACCGTTCAAGACAGCCGAATTGCTGCATGATTCTCAACATTCCCTCACGATTCACCGTCTCCACGTCTTTCGTCAGATCCACAAAAGTAAAGTTCAAGTGGGTCCGCATCTCCTAGCATTTCCTCTGCAGTTGGCGGGCGCGAAGATCATGCCCGTGGTCTACGATGATGTCAGAAGCCGCAATGGTTTCCCGGCAGAAGACCTCATTCCAGGTGGCTGTTCAGGCGGTTGAGAAGAATGCCAGCAAAGATCTTACCAGCAATGCTTAGCAGGGAGATGCCACGATCGTTGTCGCAGACTGGGCAGTCGGCACTCGGGATCGCCTTTGTCACCAGCACATCCCGCTGGTCTCGCTTTAGAACGAAAACGTAGTGTAGAAGGTGCCACTAGCGTGACGGAGGGTGCCTCCAGGTGGCCTTATCTCGCGACGGCAGGTAGAAGAGGGTGTTGGTCAAGATAAGTCGGTGTTCTGCGCAAGTACGGTGAAGGAGCAGGCCATTTTCGTTGGAGACATCGAAGCCGTGGGGACCCAGAACTCCTCGCCAGGCTGCATGGTCTGTGGCGACGCGGGTGTTAAATTCAACGATAACTTATCTGCCTTCTACACAGTCACCAGGTAGGCGTGCAGGTCCTCGTAGGATTTGCCACTTGCAGCGCCGTTGGGTCTGGTCATCGGAGGAGCGTAGCCGTTGATGATGGTGATGAATTTGCCTCCCCGGAAAGCCAGACGGAGGCTCATCAGGTGGTCGTTGATGCCTTGTGTTAGATGGGGCGGTCGTCCCACTATGTCGTCCCGGATAGTAAATTCGACGCCCGCGTCCCCTTGCTCTGCCCCGGAGTGACCACTCCAGAAGAAGGCGCAGGCGGCGCCCACCTCCTCCAGTTGGCCTTGTTCGGAGAATCGGGTCTCGCTGACTGCGGCGATGTCCACCTTGTAGAGCGCCCGTCTCCGAGCCACTTGCGCCGTCCTCCGTTCCGGTCGGTTCCTCCTCGGATTGTCTAAAAGGAAACGAACATTTCAGGCCAATAGAGTGAGCGAAATCACCCTACCAGTCTGAAGAGAGGGGCGGCGGGCAGAGAAAGGAGCAGGAGATGGAGAAAGAAGAAGACAATAAAGAGAGAGCATTTTTGTTATGATTTCGATTGTTTCGGTCGTGTGTTTAATATCTGCGACCATAGTTAACCTACAGATAGCGTGATTCCCAGCAATTTTTAGAGTACCTTTTCTAACTCCATCCCCCTTGCGTGGCGAGCATAGCACTCCCTAAATAGGGCTGCTCCGTTATCCCCGACGGCTGTCGAACTCCACTATGGGCCACGACTGTGTTAGTGGTAGAGCGATCCGAATTAGCCCGGGACCTTAAAGTGGATGGGGAGCCGAGCAGCACTGCTTTCCCGCTATTCTTTGGTTTAAGTAGTTGCAGAAGTGGAGAGGAGAGAAATTACAACCAACAGAAAGATATGTGGTTTACAGTAAGAATGGACAAGCAGACGAAGCCAACAGGCAGGAACGGCGAGATGCAGAGGCAACACGGGTAGTAGTCCACCAGAACGACAACTAGTTCAGACAAGGACAAATAGACATGTGGCAGACAACAAGAGTAGCATATAGCAGGCAGCAGGAAGAAGCAAGCTAGGCAACAGAGCATCGTTCGCTTACCTGTGGGCTCACTTGCATTGTGGTCCCCTGCGATGGTCCAGGCGGAGCCACAGGTCAGGTGACTACCGGGCAATTTACATATTATTTCATCGCATTCGCTTGCGCGCCATGCCGGTTTCAACAATCAGCCGACCCATCGACTGGAAGCCATACAAGCTGTAGAAGAAAACGCCTCAGAAGAGACTCGATGGTCCCAACTGCAGATACTTTGGAAAAATATGTGGGAATCTAAGGTGAGGCTAACGAAGAACTTTAGAGACTGCAATTACTTATTTTTCAAAACATGGGCTTTCCTAACCGTGCCATTAATGTGCACGATGGAAGATTTGATCACTGGGACGCAAGCCGATATTCGCTTTGGGGTCTCAGACCCAGGCTGGATCGAGGACAGCGACAGAGAAAAGTTGTGAACGCATAATGGGTGCTGTATGCATAAGCAGCAGTTGATATGCTGCCAAGCGCTTGCTATTAGTAGTAACGTCCGCATTCGCTTCAGGCTTCCGTACTTTTTTCCCGTTCATTTCAGTTCAACTTCATTTAAGGGAAGATCAGGCGGTGAACCTATAAACTCCCTGTTGGGTACAAGGAAGCGAATTATATCAAAAAATGGAATGTAAACATCAAACAGCTACAGAATTATTTCAAAACCGGTCAGATAAACCGATTGTTTCATGTGTTAAAAACACTGACAGCAGTCCGTCTATGCACAATTGTGTCGTAGAACATTTGTGCGATATTAGTTTTGAAAGAAGACAATGCGACTGCCAGCATTCGCATTCAATGGGCATGGGATAATAGCGAAATAAAAAACAAACGTTACTGAAATACAGGCAACATTAAACAGTTAGAACGAAACGCTAAGACGATATCGGTCGCGTGACATTATGATGTTTGGTGGCATACAGGTCCAACTTGCACTTAAATGCCTCGATGGATGTGAACATGACGATATCTGCAGGCAGAGCACTCAAAGTCTCGACCACCCCGTTGGAAGAGAAGAACTTTCGCACGTCCAGCCTGGCACCAGTCACACGTAGTTTAAGGAAATGACCTCGGCGGCTCATCGTGGTTGCTAACTCCATGAAGTCAACAGGAAAAATGGCAGCATTCCTGACCGTGCATAGTGCGGAATGCTTGTACCAGGTCGCCACTTACATGTCCGTAACTCATAGGATTGAATAACCGTGTTTCGTAGGGTAGTAAATCCTGTCCACTAACGAGTTTGGTTGTCCGCCTTTGAACTTCCTCAAGGATGCTAAGGCCTTTAGAAATCCTGAGTTTCCACGCACGGGTAGCGAACTCTAACTGGGACCGTGTAAATGTCCGAAAGAATTTAGCGAAACAGTCCTCATCGAAGGCAGAGAGAGCTCGCATGAGGAGGTACAGGACTGACATCGCGGACTTGGCTACCTTGGAGCAGTGGAGCGACGGTTTAAGTGAAGCCGTGATCCATACACCCAAATCTTTCTGGGCGTCTACCTCCTGCAATGGTACGCCACTTTGGTGGCAAACTCTGCGACTAGGAGATCGGACCCCACCGACTCGCAGAATGTTGCACTTAGCCACATTAAACGACAAAAGCCAGTCCTGCGACCATTTATCGAGTCGGTTCAGGTTTGCCTGCAAGCTGTCTTCGTCAAATTCAGTTCGGATGACGCTCCAGAGCTTAACATCATCAGCGAACATGGCGACGCCACAGTTAAGTTCACTGACGCAGTCGTTGGTGTATAATATGAACCGGGTAGGGCCAAGCACGGGGCCTTGAGGAACACCACTTTCAACTGCTACCTCCACTGACTGCCTGTCACCGACGTGGACAATTTGAGAGCGACCGATCAAGAAGCTTTAAATCCACCTCAGGAGATAGCCCTTAATGCCTGTTCGGCTTAATTTGTACAGGAGACGCTGGTGTGGTACACTATCTAGTGCTTTCCTAAAGTCAACATAGACTGTGTGCACTGCATTGCCGCCGTCAACTAGCGGGGTCCAGCGTTCTAAACAGTAAAGTAGGTTTGGCACGCATGATCTGCCCCTAGGAAATCCGTGCTGGGCACTGTATAGCAGATTGTACTGTTCTAGGAAACGCATTATTTCTCGCTTAACTATTTTTTCCATAATTCTACAGCAAATCGAGATAAGGCTGATCGGATTGTGGTTGTTTACTAAGACCTTGCATCCGCTTTTATAAAGAGGCGTGGTCCGTGAATATTTCTAATCGATGGGCTGATAGCCTGATTGGAACGAAGCTTGGAAGAGCATGGACAGCGCTTTAGATACCTCTCTAGAGGGCTCCTTCAACAATTGTAGTGGTACGTCATCCGGCCCAGGTGATTAAGACTTATTCAGGGGAAAGAGATCTTTGCGAACAATAGCATCGGCGAACGAGACAGCCTCAATCGTTGGCCCTTCCACTGTGTCGCAGTCGGGAGTAATAAATGCGTTTTCCTTCGTAATGATAGACTTAAAATTGTGAAAGGTGCTCTATCTTTGCTCCATCTTCACTGAACACAAGGTTTTCCCTAACTTTCAATAATGGGATTGGATGTCTGTTTCACGTGCTGATTCTTATATAACCATGGAATAACTCCGGATTTTCTGCGGCCCTGTTCGGTAGGTCTTTCTCGAAAGTACGCCGTGTCCTGAGGATTAGTCTCTTAAGAAACTTCCTCTGCATTTTGCATGCACATATCGACACATTGCACCTATCTGTAAGATATTTCCTCCATAGCTTTCGTTTTTTATTCATTCCTGCTTTTAAAGCTTGTGTTACCCACGGGAGTCTGCTGTTCAGTTTCTTTCGTGAGATTAGACAGTGGTCCCTGAGAAGAAGGTGCTGTAACTCACTAAACCAGTTCCGATCCTTGATTGTGTCACCTGAAAAAGCAGATTCCCAGTTTATGGTTTTTAGTTCAGCTTTCGTTTGGGCAAATTTGGGGCGCCAAATGTTCCTTCTAACTCTAGTGACTTGTTCGGGCAGAGAAAAGATGGAGTACTCCTACAGCATTACGACGTGGTCGCTTCGGCCTAGGGTCGTTTTAGTGTCTCTCGGCTGGCGAGTAATCCGGTCGAAATAAACGTCGAGATTGTTGCAATTTATTTTAAAGCACTGACAGAAAATCAACCCGGCTTGTTCCTTACAGGCCAACACAACTTTAAGAGGTCGGGGGCTTGTTGATGCTGGCTGATTGTTTGCTCGTTTTCCAAAATGGAAGGTTTTGAGTACGTCAACTACCGAAATGGGTTCTATTAAATTATTTAGAAAACCTCGGAAAAGCGTTTGATCCTCCGAAACCCACTCTTTATGTGCGTTGACGTTTGATTCAGGGAGCCCCTGGATAACGAGACATGGCTCTCTGGCGATACCGTTCGTATTATTTGCTGATGTGTCGCCCTCTGCGGGGGTCTGGTGCTCTAAGAATTGTAGGCGGCGACAGCGGAACACATTTTATATTGCTATTTTGATGCTCCACGCCTGTTGTGACTGACTTGGAAGAAGCCGTTGGCGCGGAAGTAGTGAATGATGGTCTGCAGATTAGATAATTGCCTCAATACCCCTACCCATATTGGGCCCATACCATCCAAATGTTTTCTGGGCGTTGGTGTTTTGGTACTTTCGGCATTTACCCTTTTGGACGGGGCTGTTGTCGAGGTGTCTGGTTCACGTCCCGTGGAGATATCATTTAGAAGCGATTGTTCATTTTCATTGGATTTTACCACCAGATTTCTTCTTTCTTGGAATTTTCTGACTTCCTCGTTGAACCCTGTCAATTTGATTATTTTCGCTATTCGTTCCTGCACAGCCATATCTGTAACAGAAGGCATTTATGAAGAGCCTTTTATGTGAGGTTCTTTTGCCTTACTCCTAGTTTTTCTTCCAGTGGTGACATTCGTATGTCAGGTGTGCCTAGATCATATCGTAAAAGAGCCTTTATCTGTTCGGTCTCATTCTCGAGATGGTTGACACTGAAAACTAACACCACAAATCCCATTTGCGTGCGGTTCGCCTGTACAATGCGTATAATTTTGTGAGGGTGACTGCAGACGCGGTCAGGGCCACCAAACGATGGTTTCTCGGGCAGATACCTTCGAGTCATTAATGGCTGCAATCTTACCGTTTTTTTTTAGTATTAGCACCTTTCTAATTACTGTAATTTCTATGATTTTAAAGGTGCTGAAACTACCTACTTGTGTTACCAAATCATCATATTGCAGCCCAGTGCAAAAAGTGCAAGTGGGCTATTCTTGAATTTCTGTGCATGAAAGGCTCGAGATTAGTATGTACTTCTGCATCTACTCACTGCCTCCTCATGCTGAAGCATTTCCCTCTTAATCATACTTCGACTTGCGCCGGCAAAATGCCCGACTTTACTGCTCACAAACACTCTCCTCTAGGTACATTTCCCTCTTTCTTGGCTTGGAAGCAGAGATGAGATACTCTCTCGGCTTTACTACATTCATACTAGTTAATACCGCATTAAGAGCCCGCCAGAGAAATATCTGCAAAATGTTACATGTAGAAAATGAGGGCACAACGCAATAACAACAGCAACAACTAGGACTTCTGACTTGACAATACAGATTTGGTTCAGACGGCCTGCAAGCCAAGCACACAAAGCTTCTGTTAAACTAAGCGTATAGGATCGTAGATGGCGTAGACGCTGAGGATAAATTCTGGATCAGGTGATAGTAGTGGTCTTGGTGTCGGTAAAGGCGGCGAAGGTATTCAGCGGACCACGAATACGACCAACGACGATGGCTGCAACCACCGTTGCTGACTAGTGGGAATGGGAACGAGGTTTTGATGTAGACAATTCAATAATTATGTGAGAAAACACAAAAATATGCAATGGTGGTGATGGGATGTTAAAATAACCTCGCTGGGGCATTACAGCATACTTGGTAAATATGCTGACTGCGCGAGTGGGCAAATCCGGTCCACTTTGAAGGTTAGATCTAGGTCTGTGGTTTTAGATCTTTGTAACAAAAAATGTTTGCGCAATGCAATGGGCTGATATGTTTAACGGAGTCAAACTTCGGAATAAACAATCATTTGTGAAATTGAAGTCCACTCTGAAATAGAAGATGTGTTTATTTAGCCTTTTCATTTTAAGGTCGAACAATGCATTCATCAGGTAAGCGAACTTAGTAAAAGTTAATTAAATTACTTTATGAATAGGCATTACAGGCTCTCGGCTAATATAAGCCTCTACTCCCGGTCTCTCTTAGTTAAAATATTTGCCTTACCCAGGCGGTCGATGCAGTAGGAAAAAATATTATTGCGTTACTCCTGTTTCATTTATACATCTCCCAGATGTCCACTGCCTCTAAATGTTGACTATTCTATTCGTCTGGATACAGTCCCCCAAAATTAATGTGCTGGTTGAGATAAATCTCACAGTTCTACACTAATAGACTGCGGAAGGTAATTTTGATGCAAAAGTATTTCCACTACGCCGATTGCATATGTTAAGATAATTTCGTCAGATCGAATGAAGTGCGGAGAACTATTTTGATCTTGGCCGCGTTATCAATCTTGCCAAACGAGATAAAAGCGCACCGATTTCGCACGCCGCTGCAATCTGCTCAGTTTGACGACATTCAAGCTTATCAAAATGCTAGGCCAACCGAGAAAAGCTACGTGCACGTGCTGCGATCGATATCACGCTTCGTGTTGACAGCGATCGATTTTATCTCGCCAGGTGTGCAGGCATGTCATGGCCCAGGGCCTACAAAATCCGAGTGAGCTGCCGATAGGGGTCTGTCCGTCAGATACGCAGTGTTGGTGCATGCAACAGCGGGGCTTGTTCTGGCAGATAGTGCCCACTCGCATAATCGTATCTTAAGCGTGAACGCAGGATATTTGCATAATAGATAGTAATAGGCAATAGTGTCAATTCCCGGCGTAAAGTGCCTCACAAATATTGCATTAAGCTGTTCTGCTACAGTTTTCGTTCTGGCTACAACGCATATCCAGTATAGTCTTAAAGCGCTTTCCCCTACATTGGTGATCTAGATCCATTGCTAAAAACAAATGGGTCTCCAGTCCTCCTCCTCCTCCTCCTGGTCCTCCTACTCATCCTACTACCACTACTACTACTAATATTAATAATACTAACACCACTAATAATAACACCACTTCTAATAATACTACGAATAATACTACCACTACTACTACTACTACTACTACTACTACTACTACTACTACTACTACTACTACTACTGCCACTACTGCTACTACTACCACTACCACTATAACCAATACTACTGCTACTACCTGTACTACTGCCACTGCTACTGCTTCCGCTATTGCTACGACCACTTCTGCTGCTACTACCTATACTACTAGAGCTACTAATAGAGCTCGATATGAATGACAACCGGTGTCTTGTGCGAGAAAAGGGTTGCCAGACGCAGCCTCAGCGAACAAAAAAATGTCTCAGGACAGATCGAAAAGTCACAATGAGTCAGACAAGTGAGCAAGAGTCGACTACACCTCAAACAAAAAACGTGCGCTGAAAATGACAAATGACCAACAAATCGTAGTAAACATTTAGTCATGCATTAGTCCTACCGAACCAAACCTTCCTAAATCGGTGAATGTTGGTAGTCGGGATATCCTTGATGAAGTCTCTGCAGGTATGATTAAATCACAAGGCCCTCTAGTTGATCGCAGTAGATGTATTGTCATAAAGGACGTGTCTGAGTCTGTTCCCGACACTCCAAAGGACAGAATACAGCATGACATAGAAATATTCCAGGAATATCTCAAATCGATCTTAAGGGGAGACGAAAAATTCACTGTATTAAAGGCTTTCAGGATGGGTCAGATAAAAGACTCAGAAAATGAACCAGACCGGCATTGACCGTTAAAAATTGTCTTCCAGAATGACGAACAAGCGCAGCTACTGTTGAGCGGGAAATCTGCGTTCCAAAATGCCCATCCATCAGTTTTTTTCAGCGGGACTTTTCCCCCGCGGAGAGAGAAAAATGGAGGAGGCCAAAATTGGAAGTCCTTAGGCGGTCGAGTCTGGGCGAGAGAAATCTCAGAATACTGGACGGGAAATTTATAAGCGTCCAGAGGCCATTCCTCTGGAGAAAGCCCATAACCCTAACAGTTTAGGAGTGATGGAAAGCAGTCCATCCCGATCAGCTCCGATCGGCTTTCGCATTCAATCCCATGAAATGGATAAATGCCTGTATGCCGGGGTTGCTCGTAACAAATCTCGATTTTTGTATACCAATGCTCAAAGTCTCGTTTCAAAGATCGACCAACTCAAAGCGCTAGTTTCAGAACGAATCTCCGACGTCATCGCCATAACGGAAACTTGGCCTAGTGCTGAAATCGCATATGCCGAGATTTCGATACCGGAATACCAGCTCTTTCGCAGAGACGGTCAAAATAAACAGGGCGGTGGGGTTAGTCGTATTTATAGGCGCAGGAATTTCGGCAGCTGAACGCGCCCACACCCTTCCTCTTGAATAGAAATCCGCCTGCATAATGATAAAGAAGAATAATGCACAAAACCTAGAATTCGTGGCAATTTACAGACCACCATACCTTCCGAGTTCAGCTGATGAGTCGCACCTTTAATACGTCAAGGACGTAGCTAGTCACCAAGAGGTTTTTATTGCTGGGGATTTCAGCGCATCTGCAATTAAGTGGGAAAATTAGGTAGTCAAAGGTCGGCCAACGTCCTTCAGCAATATGCTAATGTACCTCACACTCGATCTCCCTCTGGCGTAACATGTAAAAGTACCGACAAGATTTCGAGAGAACCAGAGAGCGAATTGCCTGTTCCTAGTTGTAACTAAAGACTTCTATAATATCGACGAAATGTATTCCAATGCACCTCTCGGGAAAAGTGACCATACTAAGCTACTATGAGAAAACTCGCTCTTATCTCAACGCCAGAAGAGAACAGAAGGCCAACCTAATATATGGAAGACAGACTTTAACACGATGAAGAACGCATTGATTTCCGTGAATTGGAACAAATCGCTCAGGGGAGATCCGGAGGACGACTGGAGATCGTTTAAGACGATTTCACTCGATCTTATTCGGCACTGTTTTCTACCTAAACTACAAAAAACAACTAGTCGACCTGCTTGGTTAACTAGGGGCCTAAATACGCAGTTACGGTAGAAAAGTAAAAGATGGAAAATATTCAGGGAAACTGCGTCACCAGCGCATTTCGAAGAATTTTGTCGTCAACGAAATGCAGACAAAAAATATATTTGTCAGGCACGGAAGGAGTATCCGATAGGCTGAACAGAAGCCCTGCATCTGCTGTAAAATAATGGGGGTCATAGGCAAGAAGGCAACATTGAAGTTCCTGGAGCAGAACCACTTACTCTCAGACCTGCAGCACAGCTTCAGACAAAACCGCTTGTGCATTTCCAGTTTATTGCTCTCGACGGAGCAGTGGACTCGAGCAATGGATGAGGATGGTAGGATCGATGTCATCTACACGGACTTCAAGGAGGCGTTCGACAGTGTCCCACACAAACGCTTAATCTACAAACTCTCTGAAATTAGGATAAGAGGAAGGCTGAGGACATGGATAACAGATTTTTTACAGGGAAATGGCGAACCGTGTGCGTTGAGGCCTCGAGGTCAACTCCTACCCCCCCTCCCCCCCCCCTTCTTAGTGGGGTACCGCAAGGCTCCGTCTTAGGGCCGTTGCTATTCCTGGTTTACATGAATGACTGCGTCGACGACCTGGAGTCCAACGTCATCATGCTTGTTGACGATCTTAAGCTGTGGAGAACCATCAGATCCGACGCAGTCTGGTACGCTCTTCAAGACAGTCTCAATCGCCTGAACAGTTGGTCAGCTCGTTGGCTCCTTAATTTTTATGTGGACAAATGTGTGGTCTTGAGACTCGGCACCAGAAAGACCAGTAAGGAGGACGATTCCTTTCAATACGTCCTGGATGGCAGCCCCTTTCAAACTTTGTGGAACAGAAAGACATCGGCGTCCTAATGACCTCCTCGCTGAAACAATAATCACAGTGTTAAAGGGCAGCCAAAAGTGCTATAAGGGTGTTATTTGCGCTGAGGCGGAAATTTGTGCAGATCGGAAATACCTATAAGATATTAGTCCGGTCTTACCCAGAGTATGCAGTTTAGGCCTGGCGACCATGGTTGAAGAAAGATTATCAACGACTGGAAAGAGTACAGGCGATGGCTACGTAGATGGTCAAGAATCTTCATCATCTGTTATACGAAACCAGGCTGACCGAACAAAACCTGATTCCTCCCAATTACAGGCAACTACGCGGAGATCTCATTCAGACCTTCAGGTTGTCAGAGGCCGTGAGTGCGCCCTAGACTTTGATGAATTCTTCGAATAGGCCGGCATGTACCGTCTGCGTGGTCATCCCTTCAAACTGCAGAGGAAGCCGGCTCATTCGGACGTCCGACGGAACGCCTTCTCTCACATGGTCATTGGGGCATGGAACGGACTCCCTGGCGCGGTGGTTCTCTCCGAAACTGTCGAATCCTTTAAGTGTAGACTAGATGCTCATTTCCTGAAGAACTACGGTACATATAACCCCGATTGTTTTAGCGGCGCAAGTTTGCGCCTGGCTCACACTTACCGCCAACTTTTGAATTTCCGCATTTTCTGATGTAATTATTCATTCTATTAATGTTTATCGATATGAATAGGGAGCTCAGGGAACGCCCCATTCCCTTAATAAACTGACTTACTACTACTGCCACCACTACTACTATTACTACTAATACTACTACTACTACTACTACTACTACTACCACCAACACTACTACTACCACCACCAACACTACTACTACCATCACAACTACTACTGCTAAGACTACTACTACTACTACTACTACTACTACCACTACTACTACTACTACTACTCGTACTACTACCACTCATATTTCACTACCACTTCTACTGTTGCTGATATTACTTCCACTACCGCTAATGATTCTACTACTCCCATCACTGTCATTACTCTCCTATTTCCACAACTATTACATCACAAGCGATTAATGCTACTGCTGATTTTCCTAATATGACCCACAACTACTTCTACTCCCACAACTACCACCAAAACCACTAGTAATTTGACTACTAATACTACTCCTACCATCACTAGTACTACCACCACTACTACTACTGCTACTGCCACCACCAGTTCTACAACTGGTAGTTCAAGTGGTAGCTCAAGTGGTTAGAGCGTTGGCTGTACTGAAGCCTTCCCCTTTCTGCGTGGGTTCGAATCCCACCGAGGCGCCGAGCTTTTCACAGTTGGGTCAATATGAATGTACGGGATCGCTCGCCAGAATTTAAAGTCGGCATGATTTTGTCGCTCGTCTCTTTTGCACAGACAACGGTTGACGAAGTTGCGCGGGTAACCATTTTCTCTGAAAACCCGTCGAAGATATTGGGATTCAGCAACCTTGTCTTCCAGTTGTCTGCAGTGCGTCTCAACACGCCGATATAGCATTCTTACACAGCTGCGTTTGTAGCTGATTGAATGGTTGCTATTGAAGTTTAGTATTTGCGTCGTCTTCGTCGCTTTTCTGAACACTTTGGTCTTATGTCACCACAACCTCTGCGACACACCAAGATATCAAGGAATGCCAGCTGGATATTATCTTCCTCCTCCATCGTTAATTGCATGTCCGGGAAGACGCTGTTGAGACATTCTTGGAACGTTAGCACCTGATCTCGTTCGATAAAGACGAAGATATCGTCCACATACCGAGCCCAGAATTTCGGTCTGTGATGTTGGAAGACAAGCCACTCTAACCGCTGTAGGACCGCCTCGGAGAAACCGGAAGACTGCTCCGGACGCGAATCGCCGAACACGTGGCAGCCGTATGGAGAAATGGCGCCGACTCTCAGGTCGCAGCCCATTCGACGAGACCCGGCCACACATTCAAGTTCGATGAGGCCGAAATTCTCGCGGGAGGGGATAATCGCATGAGCCGCGAGTTGTTTGAGTCATGGTTCACGGGACCTCAGTCTATCAACAAGTGCAACGACATCCCCACTCCATATTCCGTGCTGAGGCATAGGCTGGCAAAGTTAACTAACCACTCGGGCAGCGCGCAAGCCGGTGAGCCAGATGGCCGAGCAATCATCACGCTAGCATCCAACACGGGCGATGAGATTTCAGAAATTAACAACTTGCATGCCGGCCATCAAGCAATTAACGCACCAGCGGGCAGAAATCCTTGATGAAGGGGAGCACGGTTAATTTCTGTAGGTAGGCGGTAGCGCAGCGACCGCATCCTATAAATACTGCAACTTCCTGTGCACGAGTCAACCTTTTCTGCAACTGTCTCTGATGATGAATTCAAGTGAGAATCCGAAACGTCAGGCGAATTAAGCCCTTGTTCCAGCGATCGCGCTTATTCTTATCAAAAGTAGAACACTTTACAAAGTAAATTTTCAACGCTGGTTCCACAGGTCGTCTTCAGACTTGAGCAAATGTGTAAAACACAAGGAGCATTTCAAACATGCTGAAAAATCGATATTCATTTGGCGTTTGCAACAGTAAGCGGTCGCCGTGGGCGTCATTCGGTACTAAATGGCTCTCTTCACTTCCACTGTTCCCTGAGATTTTTGCCCGTGACATCTAATGCAATGCGTCGATTGATGCATGATTCATCGTAGGGCATGGCTTCGAGAAACTCTTGGCCTTTATAGAGGGGCTTCTCCGACAACGCGAGTTTTTTTCCAATGCAAAGGTGTGTCCAGTGTCTAGAGTGTTCATAACCATTTGAAACAGATGGTCTTGCCTTTTAAGTGCCAGTTTGTGTTCAAGTATGCGCTTAAATTCAAGGTCCGGATATATTTTCGTTTTCATCATCCCTCGAAGAAGGCGAACAAGTGAGGGTGATTTCATGAAGCAGGTTGTATTTACTGACGCTTACTGACGTTTCGGAAACTCTCTCGTATCCATCATTAGAGTCACTCCTTGGCTTTTCCTGCTGACCTTGGTTTGTTCAGTCTTTCCCCCTGCCTCGTATTATAACCGTGCTCACTGCACGTGTACTGGCTGGCCCATTTGCTGTTGGCTGGTTCTGGTCCCTCCAATTTCGACCATTGGCCGACTCACGTGGCTTGCGCCCCCTTCGCGGCTGTCGCGGTCGCCGCTAATTCAGCGTGCTCGTCGGCCTCCCCCACGTCGGACAGTGGACCGGTCAACCGTTGCTGCTCGGGCGTGGTGTTTTCGGCGTCGCCGGTGCGTCCGTGAGATAGTGTCGGCGCCTTCGCTTTCCTCCGCACGTGTCGGCAGTCGCCACCGTGTGATTTCTTCCACCCCTTCTATCGGCCCCGTCTGGGCTGACCCTAGCTGTGTGCGGAGCGTCTGGTAGGCGGGATGTAGTTCTATGGCTCGGTTAAGAGTTCCATCAACACGTCGACGGTCTTCTCGGGCAGAAATATGATAAGACCGATCAACAGTTCAAGCGGATGCACATAATTGAGCTCCTGGAATGGTGCCTCAAGACTTTCTTCGCATTTAATGGCCAAGCATATGAGCAAAAGAAGGGAACGCCGACGGGCTCGCCTCTGTCTGGACTAGTTGCTGAAGCGGTTTTGCAGATTCTCAAGCAGCTAAAGATCACCTATTACATGCTAAAGTTTTGGGCTAAATATGTCGACGACACATTTGTCATAATGAAAATAAACGCCGTACAGGCTTTCAAAGGACTGTTGTATTCAATTGTTCCTGACCTCTAATTTACTACGGAGGAAGAAGCCAGCAATCAATTGTCCTTTGTTGATGTACAAGTTACAAAAATGGCAGACGGGAATATGGGTGCGATGGTTTACCGTAAGGCCAATAAACTAGGCGCATCCTCCACTCCAAAAGCAACCACCTCATCGGTCACAGACACAGTTGTGTCAGGACCCTTTTGCAACGCGCCCAAACTCACTGTAGCAATTAAGATGACAGGAGGAAGGAGGTGGATTACCTCCGTGCCCTATTTGAAGCCAACATTTACCCGGAGTCGTTCATACGCAGTTGTCTCAGGAAGTGCCACTCTGGGCAGCCGAGCAAGGAGAAGCCATGATTCTGGCTCTCGATTCCCTATCTGGAGAATGTTTCAGAGACGGCGTCAAGAATCCTGAAACCTTTTGTGGTTGGTGTGGCTTATAAACAGGCATCCACAATCAGAACTGCATTCATCTTATTGTATCTGATTTGGTGGATTCCAGACGTTGCAGTAGGTTGGGCGGGTAAATCGACCCAAATGTGATTAGACTCGCGTCGTCCGGCGGGGGCTCGTAGCTCAATTGTTTAATGCGTTGGCTGTACTTAAGACTCCCCTCATATCATAAAGCTTGTGTTAGCCACGGGGGTCTGCTGTTCAGTTTCTTCCGTGAAATAGGTCAGTAATCTCTGAGAAGAACGTGCAGTAACTTAGTAAACAAGTCCCGATCATCGATTATGTCACCTGAAAAAGCAAACTCCTAGTTTGTGGTGTTTAGTTTAGCTTTCATTTGGACAAAGTCGGGGGGGGGGGGGCAAATGTTCCCTCTAACTCCGGTGACTTGTTCAGGCAGAGAAAGATGGAGTACTCCTACAACAATACGACGTGATCACTTCGACCTAGGTGACGTAGACACTACACCTCATCAATGCTGACCAAAGACTTTGGAAGGACCAGGTGCAGACAGTTTTACTGTTGCCCTTCGCGCACTCTCTTTGGAAACGAGATGTGCTGAGTGAGAAATAATTTGAGCGTCAGGTCCAGAAAACGCCGAACGAAAGTATGGTCTGGACCAGATGTATAAGCTGAACTCCAGTCGATAAGGGGCGCATTGAAGTCTCCCATGAGTAATACTTCCGAACAAAAAGATAATATCTCCAGGACGTCAATCAGTTGAGCGTCATTTCTAGGTGGTCGTAGACTGTCAGGACGTTGAGGCTTGGTGAGGCCAGTGCTTTTACAGTTAGTAAAATTGTCTCAGAAGTACGCGCAAGTTTATCTGCTGTATCCGAAACGATGAGCCCATGTTCCTCACTAACGTCCTGACCTGTCTCCTTAACAACTGGTATCCTGGTATAGTTAACTCACGGTTGTCCACCAGTTGATTCAACCAAGTTGCTGTAAGTCAGATTACATCCGGGGATAGATCTGATAGATGAACTTTTAGCTCGTCCACTTTCGGTAACATGTTCTGCACATTTGTATACAGAAATTTAATTTCGCGATTTATGGCCGTCGGAGAAGTGGTCTCGGTGCGTCTAGAACTTTCGCCTACCATGTCAGCTGCGCTGTCATCTGAACTGGGCTCGTTCAAAGAAAAAATGGTGGACGCTGTCTGATTCGGTTGTTGTAGATAATCGAATTGCGTTCTCCTTTGCTGAATCTCGTCTTGAGCTTTACAGCTAGAAGAAGACGTTTTAGTGTCTCTCTGCTGGCGAGTAATCTGGTTGAAGAAATACGTCGGCGTTGGTGCCTGTACAACTTTGAGAGGTCGGCGACATGTTGATGTTGGCTGATTGTTTGTTCGTCCTCCGAGTCTGAAGGCTTTCAGCACTTCAATTGCCTCAGGGGTTTGCAAGATATTATTCAGCAGGCCTTGGGAAAGCGTTAAGTCTTCCTTAACCCGCTTGCTAGGAAAGTTGACGTTTGATTCAGGGAGCCCCTGAATAACGAGACATTGCTGTTTGGCGATATCGTTCGTATTATTTATTGATGTATCGCCATCTGCGGGGGTCTGGTGCTCTAAGGATAGTAGACGGCGATAGCGGAACACATTTTATATCGCGGTTTTGATGCTCCACGCCTGTGGTGACTGACTTGGAAGAAGCCGTTGGCACGGACGGTAGTGAATGATGATCTGCAGATTCGATAATTGCCTCAATACCCCTACCCATGTCGAGCCCATCCTATTCAAAAGTTTTCTGAGCGTTGCTGTTTTGGTACTTTCAACATTAACCGTTTTGGACGGCGCTGTTGTCAAGGTTTCTGGTTCACGTACCGTGGGGATATCATTTAGAAACGGTTGTTCATTTTCATTGGATTTTAACACCAGATTTCTTCCAGTGGATACATTCGTATAGTGAGGTATGCCTAGATAATATTGTAAATGACTCTTTATCTGTTTGATCTCTTTCTCGAGATGGTTGCCCCTGAGAGCTAACACCACAAATCCTATTCGCGTGTGGTTCGCCTGTACAGTGCTTATAATTTTGTGAGGGTGTCTGCAGACGCGGTGGAGTGGCCGAGTGGTCGGGGCCGCCAAACGATGATTTCTCAGGCAGATACATTTGAGTCATTAATGGTGGCGATCCTACTCTTTTATGGAATATTAGCACCTTTCTAATTATTGTAATTGTGCAGGCGTCTCATGGCCCAGGACCTACAAACTCCAAGTGAGCTGCCGATAGGGGTCTGGCCATCAGACACGCATGGGTGGTGCTTGCAACATCGGGGCTTATTCAGGCAGATAGTATCGACTCGCATAATCATATCTTAACCGTGGAAGCAGGATACTTGCACAATAGACAGTAACAGGTAATAGGGTCGATTGCAGGGACGAAATGCTTCACAAATATTGCATCAAGCTGTTCTGCTGTAGTCTGTGGTCTGGCTCAGCGCATATTCAGTATAGTCTTAAAGTGCTTTCCAATAAATTGATGATAGAGTTCGGTATGGTCACACGGTAAGATGGTTCAGCTTATGTTTTCCATTGCTAAAAACAAGTGGGTCTCCAACTATACTAATGTCACTGATAGTACTACCAATACTACTGTTACTACTACTACTACTACCATTTCTATAACTGCTACTATCTATACTACTGCTACTGCCACTATTACTGTTACTACTACTACTACTAGTTCTAATACTGCCAATGTTTCTACTTCCTATACGCTTACTACTTTAAACTTCTACCACTAACATCACCACTACTACTGCTACTTCTACTGTAAGTTCTACTAACGCTACCACTACTTTTTCTATTACCACTACTACCTATACTACTGTTACCAATCATTTAAATTTTGCTACTCCTTCTACTGCAATTACTGCTGCCACCACGTCTACTACTGCTAATGCTCCTAATACTTCTAATGCTGCTACAAATGTTCGCAATTCTACTACTACTACTACTACTACTAATGATACTACTACTACTACTACTACTACTACTACTACTACTACTACTACTACTACTACTACTACTACTACTACTACATCTACTGCCGCTAATACTAATATTACTACTGCTAGTGCAGGTTTTGTGGTCTAACGCCTCGGATTCTCACCCGGAGCCATCATCAGAGACAGTCGTAGATAAGTGATGAAGACACAAAGGCACAGCATTCAAGACACGCATTTATCCTCCGGCGTGGCTAAGCCGGAGAGGTTTAGGTCCTTTCACGACCGACCACCTAACGCGACAGACATTGCGTACTACGGATCACTGTATCACCATATCAAAGAAGAGGCTCCATCTGCAACCCCACAGGAGGCTACAAGGTAAGTGGAGCCCTTTGTTAACTGAATACCGCCCGGCTGACTTGCCTGCATGTGGTCCGAACCAAATCTGCATTCTGAGGTCTTAATTGTCCGGTATGGTCAGACAGAAAAGTCGTTTAACTCATGTCTTCCATTGCTAAAAACAAATGGGTCTCCAATCGTACTACTACTACTACCATTAATACTACTACTTCTACCACTACTACTTCTACTACTACTACTACTGCTACTACTACTACTACTATTACTACTACTACTACTTACTACTTCTATCATTAATTGTACTACTACTACTACTACTACTACTACTACTACTGCAGGCTTTCTGGTCTGACGTCTCGGATTCTCCCTCGGAGCCATCATCATAGACAGTTGTTGATATGTGACGAAGACACAAAGGGTACAGCATTCAAAACACCCATTTGTCCTCCGACGAGGCTAAGCCGGAGAGGTTCAGGTTCATTCACGATCAGCCACCTAAAATGTCATACGGATCATTGCATCACCATCTCAAAGATGAGGTTCCGTCTGCGATCCCACAGGAGGCTACAAGGTAAGTGAACCCGCATGTTAACTGAATACCGCTTGGTCGACTTGCCTGCAGGCGGTCCAAACCAAATCTGCATTCTCAGGTCTTAATTGTTGTTATCTCGTAGAGCACTGATTTCCTACACGTCACACATTGCGGATACTCCCCCGGAGGACTCTCGATGAGGTATTAGCTAGTTTAAGTCCTGTACAGGTGAAAGACTATCTCAGCTCAGCTAGCAGGTCAAGAAAGTGGCAACTGTATCTCACTCATTTTTCAGTGGCAAGTCGACGTATGATTAACGACGAAATGTTTCAGCACAAGAAGGCAGGAAGTAGATGCAGAAGCACTTACTAACACTAAAAACATTCAAGAAAAACCCGTTTACACCATTTGCACTGCGTAGCACCGGCCTCGAACAAATTAACTAGTTCACTAAGTCGTCCCATATGCTGGCCACCGCACGCGTACCTCCAACGTTTAGAAATAACAAATGTCAAGGCTGATTCATTTGCATGTAATTTATTTCTAATGTCAATGCAGCGGAGGACACTCCAAGTGAACATGAAACAAGAAGCAAGTGAAGAAATTTACATGCAGACGCTTGCTGCGCCGACAATGTCGTCAAGTGTCTCCACCGGGCTCTTGGACGACCAGACCCAAGATGTCAAGTCATTGTCCAAGTCAGCTGAACCTCCTGGTGCCGTGAGAGTCTCTACCGTGTTACGCGTTTCGACCGCGTTGCCTAAAAATTTTGCAGAATTATAGTGAAATTTCACTTGAGGAAAAATGAAACACGAGAGAAAAGATATTTAAAAAGGGAGGTTAGGCAATATGCACAGCAAGGCGACCACTTCTGGCTGTAATGGTGCACAGCGCATGAAAATCCTCCAACGGCATGTCAAGTGATTTAATGCTCTTGTGCCTTGTAAAATTGGCTACGCGGATGAGGCAAACGAATGGCATGAGAGAGAGAGAGAGAAGGAAAGAAAGAATTCATTTCATTGTGCATTCGCTTACCGAGAGCAAAGACAGCGTTCGCGGAGGTGAGAAGAGTGAAGCACTGGCGAGGCTGCTTCATGTCGGCCAGCTCTGTCCACTGACCGAGGGGGTTCCCGGCGTCCGGCGGTGAGAACATCTCCACCACGTTGCGAGTCTTTCCCATCTTCAATCCACCGGCGACCAGGATTGCTCCCCGAAAGGGCTTCGCTGCGAGCCGAGATCGTGCAGTTCTCATGGCGGCAGCTGGCTGCCAAAAGTCGGCGGTGCGCGCTGAAACTGTCTCCTCCCGCCAATTCGCCCGCAGATTGCAGAAGACCACGGAAGCCAGCGCGGAGGAGCCATTCCAGCCGCCAAAAACGAAAACCCGACTGTCGCCGGGCAGGCAGGCAGCAGCTGGACCGGACCTCTCCTCCGGCAGATCGGGCAATTTATGCCATCTGTTCAGGGCAGGCGGGGTGGGAAGTGAGTAGAAGGAGAGAAGTATTTTTTTTGCAAAAAAAAGCACCAAAACCAGCGCCTTCTCACCTGTCCTGACTGGCGTCATAGACTTCACAGGAGGCGAGGCGTGTCCAACTGTCCCCTTCCATGAAGCAGCCACCAAAAATGCCTATCACCGTCTCCTCTCCGTCGACGGCGTGAACCCTCATGACGACGGCGGCGTGCTGCTGGCGTCGAACGGCGAGGGGCGCCCGTTTGCGCCAGCGTCCTTCTCTCACCAGAAACTCGTCAACGTCAACTAGCGCTGTGTCGTTCCATGCTCCACCGACAACGAAAATGCTCTCTTTCGGGAGAAAAAATACAAAAAACGTCCGTCACTTGCAAAAAATCCCCAAGAGCCTGATTTATTTGCTTAATTTACTTCCTACAAAACACTAAATGCTGTCGCACACAGAGGCGCTTGACTTCAACAAGCAAATACATCAAAAGCAGACAAAATGCGCTGAAGAGGTGACGCAGAACTCTCCGACAACTCACCGCCCACGACGCTGTAGGAGGCGAACCAGCGGCGCTTCTCCATGTCAGCAACGCGTTCTGCCTGCTGCAGGTGCTGATCGGTGCGACGGACAGACCAACTGCCCTGCCCATCTTTGTCCTTTCCGAAGAGGAAGATCGTCGGGCGCAGACGAGGCCTTAAGTTAAAGGGGCGGGCCGGCTTGTCCTTGTCTGCAGCTCCAATCCACCGTTCAATCCGAGTCATTAGCCGACTTGTATGAACAAAGAAATAACAGGGTTGAGATGGCATATACTTACAGACATTAGTTACTTTTCTGCAATTTTGGGTGAACAGAACACACTTACGCGCATTCGGGACTTTCCCAGATTGTTGGATATTTCTCCATCAGGCGATCGCGGCATTCCACGTCGGTTAGGTGCCACTGAACTTCTTTCAACATCTCCGGCGCGTGTACTTTCAGCCTCTCATCGTCGGCCTGGCCACAGGCACCAGCACCCGTCCAGCGAGCAATCGCCGCAACAACCTCCTCCTCAGATCCCACGGGCAGGTGATCGCTTCGAAGCAGGCTGAGGACGGTTTCGGCCGGCAAACGAACAAAGAGTTCAGTTGGCACGAATTCCTCAAAATGCTCCTTCATCAGCCCAATGCACGTATCAGCCAGTAATTTGATATTCGTAGACTTGGCAAAGTCCCACGTGGCTGGCAAATTCTGCAAATTGACTCTTTAGAGCAGGCAGTTAGAGAGGAAGAGTCAGGAAATTGCGTACCTCTTGGTCATAAATGTCGCTCCCCAATTCACCAGGGCGGGGAGTTCCAACATTCTTGCAAGCGCAATCATGCCCATCACGTTGTTCTGTGTGATCTCCACCCGACCAGTGTACACATACTGGACGAGCGCATTTGCGAGACTAAAAAAGTTGTAAGCAAAACCTAAAGAACCAACCTGAGCGGCGCTGTCGGCCACCTTAAGACCGAATTCTCCTCCCCGATGGGGCCACTGAGGGACGCTCGCAGAGAAGGGATGCGAGCTGCTAGCACTATTCGATGGACGTAAAGGACATCGCCGTTCTTGACCTAACACGCACAAATGTCCGCTGTAACTAAGGGAAGTTACCTCTATGGTCAAGTCTTTAATGTCTTGGGCAAGACGAATTTCGTTTAAGGCAGGACAGCTTTGAATCAGGGGATGTTGGTCTTCGAATAGTTCTGCTTCCTGGAGCGCCATTTGGATTTATAACTAGAGCAGGAGAGAGAGCGAGAGACGGACGGAATGCCGTGAGTGCTACGTGCGCCGCCTTTTACGGTGGTCCCATACGTTGCACACGCACGCACACTCCGGCTCTGATTGGCCGATTGTGGCATACGGAGGATTTCATTGGGAGATAGTTGGCACAGGAAAGGGGGTGCCGCGAGTTTTCATTGGTCAAGGCGAAGGTGGCTGGAAGTCGCTGATGGCGTACATTGCGTACCAAATCGATTAACGTGTGCTCTGTCGACGAGAAAACCGCGCGCGCGGGATTCGGATTATGGGCATTAGGTTTCAGTTCCATGTCTACTCAAAATTTAAGTTGGTGAAGATCATATGTAAACCCAGAAAAACAGTGAGGCCAAAGCTCACTTGACAGCCAGGGTTGGATTCGGTCAAATCTGCCTAATCGGCAATTGAACCTTCTCAACGTTTAGGGAAAAAAACGAAATAATTTAGGGACATAACGCATCAGGGATACGGCGTTCCGTAGATAATCACAAATGTATGCTCCTGTGGCGATATACTTACTACAGTCCCGACCAGTCAACCTTGGCCCACAGATTAAATATCGACTTCCACAGCACAAATTTAGTCAGAAATACGAGCGAAAAACGCATGCAGACAGGACAGTACCCAATTCGCAACCTTGGCCTAAGTCTGAGAAAATATCGAATACACAAAACGGGTCATTACGGACCATTACTTGTAGAATATCCGCGTGAAAGCAGGCGGTCCCAGGGATCTGTGACTGAAGGTTGTGAGCGCTGCTAGAAGAAAAAGCAAACGGCATTGTTTCCTCTGGATTCATTAATTCTACGAACGCCAGCATTTGATCTCTTCACAGCTCTGTACTGCACCAGTTGCATCTTCGTCTCCTTCTTCTTCTTCCCCTACTTGCTATCTTCTTCTTTTTCTTCTTCCCCCCCTCCCTCTTTTTCTCCCCATTCTTTTTCTTCTTATTCTTCTTCATTTTCTTCTTCTTCTCCCTCCTTTTTTTTTTCTTCTTCTTCTTCTTCTTCTTCTTCTACTTCTTCTTCTTCTTCTTCTTCTTCTTCTTCTTCTTCTTCTTCATCTATCCTTTCTTCTTCTTCACCCCCCTTCTTCTTCTCCCCATTCTATTTCTTCTTATT